ACCTGTTCCGAATGAGAGAGGTCAAGATGGCGATGGCATCCGCCATGCTCCAGAACGAGCAACAGCGCGTAGCGCTAGCTATCTCCAAGCTCGTGGGTATAGCGGGAGAATGGGCACTTACGTGCGGTGCGTAGACTGAAGCTGCCATCTCCTCCTGGAAGAATATAAAGCGGCAGCTTTTGCGAGTGTTCTCGCCGCCTAACCTGGCATATCGCGTGCGATCGCGTTTCCTTGCTGCCCGACAGGGCAAGAAGGAATTGGTGGACTTTGTCCAAGAGTTGGGAGCTCTCATTGCCGGGATGGCAGCGGATCCTCTCCCCGAGGCGGTCACAGTGACCATAATTATGGAGAGCCTCCGCACCGGCGTCGCCAGAATGGGAGTCTTCCGTGTGCCTTCGTCTTCTTTTGAAGAAGCGGTAAATATGGCATTTATGCCGCATTCAACTTCGAGTCGGCACGACGTAGTTGTAATGCACACCCTCATAGCTCGTCGAGTGGGCCTGAGCCAATGGATCTAAGCTATGCTGAGAAAGAGGAGGGAGAGCCTCGAGATACCAGGAAGCGTTTGGACACCCTACAGTGTTTTCTCTGTGGAGATACCCGTCACCTTCGGACTGGTTGTTCTCTGCTGCAAGGCGTCAAGGTTTGTCTTACCGACGTCCCATTCTGGTTTGTCGGGAGAAAACGAAAACATTTAGTAGGCGCGGGATGGATGAAAGTTAATTGATGTTGAGACTTGAAGGGGTAGGGTGCAATAGGGCCCTGTTACAACGAGCTCTGTGCTTTAGAACACGGAACATGTATGCAAGTCGGGTTTGCTGGTCGTAAAAATGACCGTAAAGAGCTTTGAGAAGCCATGGAAGATCCTGATCGATTCTGGGGCGTCGGGTGATTATGTTCAATGTCCTACGATTGAAGGAAGTCAGCTGAATGCTGAGGCGCTGGATGCGCGGTTGATTGACACCGTCACGGTTTACTTAGCGACCGGGACTCGTGTCACTGTGCCGAGGGTCTCTTTGGACCTCGGGGTCAGGTTTCTTGACTTCGATAGCATGGAACGCTGCTGGTCTTAAACTTGGATTCAAGTTAGTACCTTATTCTTTTTTATGGCATGACAGAGCACGATAATCCTCACCGCGAGGCAGCCGATGCACAAAGTGATCCAGAATCTCGAGGTCTTCCGCAGAGCGGTAGGCAACCTCGGAAAGATACTCGGCGGAGTGCCAATGACGACAGACTTTGTCCTCAGAGCTCAAAGATCATCGCGGGTCACCGGACGGCGATCGACCAAATCGTCATCGTCCGACGCCGATTCTTCTCGATAAGAATGGTGGCGTCCACTACAGCGTGGAACGCCTTGTGGGTCGACGTCGTCGACAGGGTCAAACCCAAAATATTGTGAAGTGGTGGGGATATCCAAACTCCGAGATCACGTGGGAGTTTGAGGTGTCGCTACGGCAAGACTACCCAGACGTTGTTGACGCTTATGATCAGAGGATCCATGACGCTCCGCGTCGTCGTGCGCCACGCGCTTCTCGGTAGTAGCCCGGGAAGTCGAAGGTCCATGAGCTAAGCTCAATCTTTGGCCCTGAGCTGCGGTGGTCGCAGACTTTCCCGTGTGAGAAACCATGGTGCTCGTGGGAGCGTTATGAATTATTCCATGTGTTGCAGCAGAACAATACGATGGAAGTCGGCGTTGGGCAAACTCGAACCAAAGAATTGCGTCCTATGCGCACGTCCTCTTCCTTGTGATTCCGCTGTAAGTAAGACAGCGAGAAAGGTCTTTTTTGCCTCTACGCCCACCGCTTGAAAAGCTCTTTATTATCTGCTACGGTTTCACCCGGGGTGAGCACCAAATAATCTTCCGCATCGCGGATACAGGAGCGCCTCCTTTTTGAGCGAATAGTCGCCTATCCATTAAGATTTCTCGAGGTACCAGGGAGCGACCTCGGAGAGATTTTATTTGGACAAGCTCGGCTTGTGTTGCGGTCGGGGGCCGACTACGTAGACGCCTAACGATCTAGTGACCGCGTCTTTCGCTTCAGTAGATGGACCCTTTGAGCAGAAGCTGTATTCCACACGAGAGTCTAGAACCGACCGTTGATGCGAGCGCATGAGGGTCGCTCTGTGGGCAGCCTTCAACTGCTGCTTCTGTGCCTCGACGAGATGATTGGCACCACTTTCCCCTGAAGTCGAAAGCATTGTGTCCGCAAGGTGAGCAACAAGCGGTGAAGAGTGTTATCCAATTTAAGTCTTCCTCCCATTAGAGCTAGCCACACAATACACCATAGATAGTAATAAAACATATTTAAAGTAGCATTAATACTAAACAAATAACATCTGTATGACACTTTGGTACGGAATTGCCTCTCGGTTTGCTCCCAGTAAGAGCGACCGAGTCCAACCTCTGCGCGTTTATCAACGCCGACTTATAGAATCTGGCTTCTTCTGTGATAAGTACCGTTGATGGGAATGGACTATCCATTCCGATGGTGGACCATGAAATTTGTCATCAGGACAATTTGACCAATTTATTAAGCTAATATCTTCCATGTCTAATGATTGAAGAGATAATCGGCGGTCGAAACGTGGTGGTAATCGCTTTCTGCCGCACCTCTAGACCTTTTAACATCTCTTTTAGTAATTGGAGATGTTCCCGGACCGTGTTTGCATAGTTTGTGATGTACTTGTGCAAGTAGCTGGCCAGCCCAAGCCACTTCCTTTAGACATCTTGGGACAGTAGCATTGACTAGTCTATAATGATAATATTGTTGTGCGATCTGCACGCAAGCTCTGCTTTCCAATAAAGCACTGCAATAAGAGATTTCGTTTGCGCCAAGCACACACTTATTGATATCAGGGAACAGCTTTTGCATGCGCATAAACTGAGCACAATTCAAAGGTTGCGTCCACATCCGACATTTTGTGCTTTGCACGAATAATGACGAAAATAGGCTCGAAAACAGCTTTGTACGCAACCACGATGTGGCTTGTATAGCCGTGGCACCAGCTATTGAGCGAAGCTGGCATGTTAGACAGGTTCTGGCGCAAAAGCAGCTATCTCGCTCGGGAACTCAGAGCTTTGGAGAGGATGATATCGCTGATTTTTATGATAAGGTGGAAAAGATGCATCGTTTTGATCATGAACACTGAGCAAAATGTAGCTAACATACTGTTTCGCAATAGATCCTTTCTGTAATTTGCGTTTGTGTCGAAATTGTGGTTACATTGGGCTTATCCATAAGCAAGTACAATTTACCGCTTGTTGTAGATAGTTCTGACAGTAAGATTAAATCGAAAGAAAAGGTTTCATTTTTCTCATCAAACACGCTTTGTACTCGCAGAGAAAAGGGTCTCACTGACGTCATCTTATTGGATTTTTGGTCTCAATAATCTCTTTAACTTCATGAAATTTATGACGCGCATTCGATTCTAGGACGACACGTGTGGTAGTTCTATGCTCAATATGTCGTGATATGTTCCAACATAGGGAGAGAGAATATCTTTAGAATCTTGAGGATAGCGTTCACTCCTTGAATTCAAGTTTGCAAGTGGAAATTTTTGAAAGACTCCTCCATGCAATATGATGAGCTCGGTTTTCCCTCCGGTATCAATTGTACCATTCCGATGACTGCAGCATCGATGCATACGTTGTGTGCTGCGGGGCTACTGTAGCTCTTTGCTTAAAGGAAGCTTACAAAGGTCATCGACCTTACGTTCTATACTAGAACCAGTATGAGTGTAGCGGATCGCAATCTGCTACTTCCAAGAGTACCCATAACCTTATCCCTAATAAACGGAGCTATTCCGTTGTAAATTACACTATATTTATCTGTTTTATTTGCGGCAGAGACGCCTATGACAAAATCTTTAGGTTTTCCTAATTAATATTGTAAAACCCAGAAGAATATGCATAACTACTGGCAGTCCCGCCACGTAGTGGCTTCTTCTTACGGTTTAGCCACACCATTGTGTGATTACACCAACTTGTGTAATCCGCACCTTTGTACGGTCACACAGTCTTATGTGGCCCACCCTTTCATACCAGGGCACGTGTAACCCCGTTACACTCTTCCCCATCAAAATTGTGAATACCCACAATTTCCATGATACTGTTGCCTCGTACGAGGCTCGCGTGTCTGATACACCTTTCCGTCCACAGGACCTTCTTCGCGCATTCGCTGCTCAATCATCCCTGTGTCTACGACACGAAAAACACCCAGCCTCGCTGGTCTCGAGAGCGCCCGCAGGCAGAGACTTTTTTGTCTCCTGCACGCGGTGTGACTCCGGAAAGTACGTCCGCGGCTTCACGGAAAGCATATCCCAAGCCCTCGACAACCTGCTGCCATACACACGGGTGCCGGATTTCCTTGTCGAGGATTCGGAGGAAGTCGACTACGAATCGGATACTCTTTTTAAAAGATGGGAAGAAGAAGACGGGAGGTGCGTCAACGGCGCGACGTGGCGAGCCGTCGATATACGCGAACGAGAAGGAAGCGACATTTATTATGGCCACTAGGCCTTAAGACCGCCCTAAACGGATAAGTACCTCCACGTCTGATATAACAGAACTGAGGAATATACAGCTATGCAAGATGTATAATCGATCTTCACCACACACAGAAGTATGTGGCTCACACAACATGAGATACACGCGCCCAAACATGTGTATATTCCGTGACACGTCGAACACATGAATCATCGATGGCGAACTGCAAGCTTGCCGAGCTTTTTTGCGGTATCTCATATAAATCACATCACAAAGCTCTGCATGTCTGGTGATGACAAAGCCAAGGAACAACCGCTGCAGCTGCGCGTATCCACTTAAAAACGACGTTGCAAACGACAAATTGAAAAGAAGTCGATGAGCGCGGCGGTCGTCCAGTTAATCGATTTGACGGGATCATGGCGAAGCAAGAAGCAGATTTCTATGGCGCTATTGTCAACCGATGTGAAATACGACGCTGCAACGGTGGGTACTCAAGAGCTTCTCGGGCTGAAAGAGCTACTGGGGGAGCTAGACATTGCCACCACGTTGCCCATAATCATAATGATAGACACCAAGAGACTGTTGAGGAAGCCCAGGTCGACACAATCTTGACCAAGGCAGAGAATGTAAACATCACGCTCGATTCTATCCGAGACTTTGCCAAGAAGAGTGTTGTGATGCCAGAGGCGAAAAACTCGGGATTCTGTTGACGAAATCGCTTTCAGTGCCACAGATAAAGGGGCTACGAGACAAGATAGGACTCATCGACATTGAGTGATTCAGAATCTTAGGAGAGTGTTAGGCAGGCATGGAAAAGCCAGCATACCGGAAGCCAGATCCCCAAATACCTGTACGGGTTCGTCGAGAAGAAGGTGAGGCTATTGATACCAATCTGATAAAGCGTAGACATTGGGCCTTACTAGATTAGGAGTATGCGCATGCCTTCCTGGGGCCATGTGTCTTTACAGTGTTCCAGCTAGAACTCCTTGGATATATTTTAACATCTTCTCGCGCACAATTGCCCGAACGACCCCTTAGCCACATCCGTCCATTTCATCAAATTTGCCACAATGGTCGGCAGATCACCTTTGCATCGGGTCATGCTGGATCAGTATTCCCGTCTGCCTTACAACACTTTTTTAAACCTTTGACTTGGCTTCTAATATGGGGTACAGTTCCCTCAACAAATTGTTCTTAAGTGTACCCTCACATATACGCATAGCGTAGCTAACGCGTCGGCTCCGTATGAATAGACTGTCAATGCTAGTATTAAGCTGGAAGTCGGTGAACTTTGTCCTCTGATGGTGACTGAAGCAAACGAGTTAGCAAAATGGTTGATTAATATAAATCCACCATTATTTTGAGAGATGAAATATATAACTGTCAATATCCTATCATTCGCAGTCAATAAATTAGAACGAGATTATGAATCGTGTGCGTCTCCGGGACATTGTAGGTTGGGCCATCGCTAAGGTGAGTTCGCATCTATCAACGCAGCTTACTATAAATACCAGCTCAACATGCATTGAAATGCTTAATATTAAGTGGATGAGAGACCTGAACTAAGTCTGATTTTAAAAATGTGCCAATCATATGTTGATGCCTCGAGCCTAACTATGTTAAAAGCGAAAACACCGCGTATTTACAAGTGAAAACATTATTCGATTTAAAGACTAAACATCTAGTAAATTGCCTTATTGGTATTCCCAACATGAAGACGCGATTCATCAATTATGATCTTAAGCCAACACAAGTCTGCATCGCCTACCTTATTATGGGGGTCATGTCTAGAAGGCAGATTTTTTTTCTTGTTCTTACTGCGCATAGCCTCCGTTCATCAGTATCAATAAGGGGAAGGGTGCGCAAACGGCAGCGACATCTGGTATGATCCACGCGCATGTACCTTAGCGCAGTGGAATCTCAATCTAGTGTAAACCTTTCAGGTGATGCCCGGTCAAGCCACATGATTTACTTAAACTAGAGTCTCCTGCGATCTGTTTGGATCGACGATGGGATCAACCATTCTAAATCCGGCGAGATCAAAATTCCTCTGAAAGCACGAACAAGCTAGCAGAAGCATCACCTTCCGTGGCAGTGTTGCCCTGATAAGTACCACAACTTGCTGTTCTAAATAATAATTACCATCACTATCATCATGTAGAGGAAAAAGGCTCTAAGTAGAGCACGGCAAGCACAGTCACTACATTTTCTTAAAAGACGGCTATTTTGACAGCTTTGATACTGTTGCAGTCTGGAAGCAGCAGTGAAGTTGCTGTAAATGTACGGACTATTGATATTGCAGTACAGGGTACGGTTTAAATCCAAGTATAGATGAGCACTAGGCTAAAATTTACGCTACCGTCCAAGCTGATATTGCTCACGCAATGCCCTCGCAAGGAAGGCTGGAACGTGAAGTATCTCCTTGAAAGATCACTCAACCAGTGCAACCTTTCAAAAAATACTTCTAAATAGAATGAGGTCCACCCTCATCCTCTTTTTTCTTCAGTCCGCTAAAGGTGTTATTGATTCGATCCAATGAGCACGCTTTGGGTGGTCTTATCACAAAAGTTTTCTGCAAAGACATCTGGTGGAAGGTAGTGCTCCACATGGAGCCAAAATCTTTGAAACTATCGTCAGCAAAGAAGACTGTCTCACCGTCAAGACTACTTACTACTCGTTCTGAACGAGTAGTAAGTCGTTCATCCCGATTGCGATTGCCGGATAGTAAACCTCAATAGAGGGCTTTTAACTGTTTTGTTCGCCTGAAAGCTCTGTTTAAAGCGACATTGAAGGGACCCTACAGCAGTTAGAGCAAACAGATTTGGCAACATAAACGCCGAGCGCTCTGAAGCATCAACAAGGCTTTGTCCTGAAAGTCTGTGCGTCCATTGAAATGGCATTTTTTTGTATATGGAAATCATTATAGCTAGTGCAAAAGCTAGCTATCACCTTCCGCTCATGATTCGCCTTAACATTCTCGAGATCAAGAAATCGCAGATCCAGAAAGTGGTTTCTGTGGACCACTAAATCATCTATATCTATGATTGATTACATAACCGAGATAATTTTTATGATTTTGTTTGCGATCGACGGGCTTATGATGAAATCTTGAAGCATGGCAACAGCCGGACGCAATCGCCACGCAATTTACGACAAACTATTACAAGAATCAATTAAGAGTGCACTTTAATGAGGGAGTCGAGAGCTGTCTGTTTGAATTCATCGGATCAATTTATGATGTGCGCAAATCCAGTCGTCAATTTTTATTTGCCGCTTAACATGTACGACTTCTGCAGCAAAAAAAAGACAATTATTCAGCATGCTGTTAGAATTAGGCATCAATGTGAGGAAATTTATTGTAAAACTGTTACGAATATGAGACCTGCAATATGTAAGTAACACAGGCAATGTTTATAGCATGCAGGAAGGCAAATAAATTTATATGTCTCGGATAGAAGTTAAATATAATTGACGCAAATTTTAACTTTGGTACGTAGGCTGCAGATTGATCAAATATCCCAGCTGTTTGAAAATGAACAGTCCACTGGCGGGCCAATACCACATGTATTGGTTTTCGCGATAGGA